GGCAAGAACAAGTATTTACACAATCATGAGGTAAGTGCTCTTTCTGCAAGGATATCAATTATATTCATTTTTCTGGATTTCAATCTTGAAGTGATCAGCATTTTGTGTAGAAAATTAGAATGTAACGCATAATTATCATCATATGGTTCAGCAATGATTATTCCAGGCTAGGCGCCTTAAGGAAAAGCTACGGAATGAAGAATCTGGTTTGTTAGATGATACAATCTCAAGGCGTTTTGTGGACTCAAAACTTATGTTGTGGCCTCAACAGTTCTGCATTTAGAGGAGTCACCTGTCATGGAACAAATTGGGAATTTTCTGATGAAAGGGCAAGGAGATTACATGAATCTTCTTCCTTTAATTCATAGCACTATCTTGTCTTTATGCTATTGAAAGATGCAGCATGTTCATGGTGCTTCAGTTTTGAACAGGTAAATTATAATAAACAAGACAAGATTGCAGTACTTCTATATTATTCTCAGCATGAATACCTTGTAAATTGTCTAGTGGAGAGAAGTTGTAATTAAGTAATTAATAATTTGCAATGAAGGTATTATAATTATAAGGTATTCAAATAAATAATATTCATGCCATACTACATTATAAAAAATATTTTTTTTACCACAAAATATGAGATATTAATTTGTGACCGAATTTAGTCACCGTATTTTTTTATCCGTGACAAATTTATTATTGAAATTTATGGTCACAAATTCCTCAGATTTTAAAATTCTCAACTTCTCTCCTCTTCCAAAATTAAAAATTCTTGACCAAATTTGGTCACAAACGCATTTTATTATGTGTTTTTTATTGTAGTAGAACTTTTTCAATCACGTAGCGTGTGTTAAGGATACTTCTGACAGCAATCATGATAGCAATAATTCTGAAAGTAAACGCAGCCGTAACAGCATTTATCATGGCAGCAATAATTCCAGCAGTAATCATGGTAGTAGCAGCTGCAAGTCTCAGCCTGCAGTTTCAGCAAGATTTCAAGCAATCAATCCAAAGAATCCTAGCACTAATGCCATGATCATTCAAGCAAAATCACAGGAGATTCCAATCATTCCAGCAAGATCACTCTGACAGTAATCACAGCATCAATAACGTGAACTGCAATTATATTTTCTAGCACGTGACAAGCTCATCATCCTTCCAATCAACCATAATTGTAATCTCAAGTAAATGCTAAGAGAATCACAATATTTACATCATGAATAAGATCAATATATGTATATATATCAGCTTATAGATAATATCGCAAAAATATACTTTACAGGAAACTTAAGGCACAAATGTGTTGTTTCTATTATGTATTAGCGTATTTGTGATAAATATTTACTTGTTTATCATCGATTTTTCAGTGATAAAATAATTGTTTTTTTTAGTGGCAAGTAAATGACTATGGACTGACAAGGTAAATTCATTTATTGCATGGTAAAAAAATAATATATTTTTTAGTAATTTAATTAATATAATTAAAGTACAATTTCAACAATGAAAAGTGCCTTGTCACTTTAGAAAAAAACAAATCAGTATTTCCTTTAAAAATTAAAAAACAAATTCTTAAGTGATTACGAACTAAAAAGCATTTACAAAATCTTGCTTCTTTCGATAGTCCTTGAGGTTCTCCTTAATTATCGTTATCGACAGTAGTATTTTTTCATCCTCTTGATACCTTCTTCTATAAGACTCGTTTCTTTTCATTGTGAAAGATGAAATTAAAAAAGAGAGGGTTGTAATGTAAAACAGGGGGGAAACATGTGGCCATTTTTAAAGTTGATAGAAAACTGCTTTTTGACCCATCTATTTTCTGTTATTCTCCAATTCTATTCCTTTCACTTTTAGAATTATAGTTTTGATTTAATTTTTATTTTATCTTTTAATCACTAAGTTTTGGGAGATAAGAGAAAAAATCATTAAAAAATAACAAGGAAAAGAAAAATTTGTCAGCTGGCTACATTTTGATAACAAAAAAGATTGATTTTAATGTTAGCAAATTTTATTTGATGAGCAAATGTCTACCAAAGTATTTTTAAGCTTTTGTTCTGCTGAAAAGGTACATTAGAGTTGCTAAAGATTTTCTTGAGGTTTGATTTTATGTTTTTTAGATCTATTTATGGTTGTTTTGAATTAAAAATTTGATTTATTACCATGTTAAAGATATGTACTAAAAAAAATAAAAGTTACAAAATATTTTTTAGACCAACGAAACTTTGGCCTAATTTTCCAACCACCTTTCCGGTGGTTTGAGTTAGGGCAAGTAGAAAATAGGGTCCATAAATAACTCTTTTTCCTTTTATTTATCTTTTAATTTTTTTTTAATTTTATTATTTTGTTGTCTAATTTTATAAAATTAAATTTTAAATTATTGTTGAAAGATAAAACTACATAAGAACTGGTCACAATGTAAAACACGAGAAAAACACATGAAGTCTCAAAGTCGAAAAAAAAATGCTTTTGAACCCACCTATTTTTCTTTCTACTACTCAATTCATTTTGCTTTTTGAAATTTTAGTTTTAGTTAAAAAATTTATTTTGTTATTTTTTTTGTCCTTATATTCGAGAGAGGAGAAAAAATTATTAGGTGAGCATATTTCACCAACAAAAGATTGATTTTATAGTTTACATGTTTCATTTAATGAGATGAGTTCTGATAAGATGTTTTTAAATTTTTAACTTGCTTGAAAAGGTAAATTAAAATTGAGAAAAAATTATTTTTTGTTTTAATTTTTAAACTGATTTATTAAGGTTTAGTGTTGAGAGATTATTTTATTGACATGATAATAACATTTATTGGTATTTTTAAGTGAAAATAAGTTGAAAAAAGATTTTTTAAATCCAAAAAATTTTAAAATTAGTTTTCCAACCACCTATCCAATATTTAAAAATTGAGAAAGTAGAAAACGCATCATTGTTTTTATTTTTTTAAGAAAAAAGGCCAAAAAAAATTTTATTTATCAAATTGATTTATGTAATTAAAAACATAAGTCAATTGTTCTGCTCCCAATTAAAAAAAAAATAAAGTTAAAAAACACCTTCAAAATATTTGCATTTCTTTTTTAAAAAATTATTTTTTATCCCAACCCCCAACCCCCAGTGTAGCACAGCACGGATAAACAAGCTGGTCTGGACTAAACTAGTACATAGAAAAAACTTTCACGTGCATTAAGGAGTGACAGAAAGGTTTCCACGGATCGTTCATGTTAAGCAGTTGGAGAGGTCATCTTCAAAATTTTATGATCCCTGTTAAGCAGTTGCTAGGAAGTTTGTTTAAACCGGTGAAATGGACTCTCGTAGTCATGTGATACGGGCTTGATGGACTTGTCCAACGAGTGGATCACGTGCAGACCTTTCTTTAGTGTACAAGGGCCCATGGCCCAAGGCCCAAGAACAGAAAAACAGAAGTAATCACAGTATCTGAAAAGATACCATGGAACTCCCGGCGTCTTTGCTTCTCGTAATTGAGGGATGCTGGTACAGTACTT